ATTTGATGTAAAATGGATTATTCTTTTTTTTTTTTTTTTTGTTTTTGGCTTAACTATAGTTCAGTAAAAACTTTCGGATTTTTATAATCTATAACCACATAGTGGTAAGGGTATTATGTCTTTGTGTATTTGTTTGTAACATGGAGAAGGAGGATCATCATACAATCACTTTCTGAATTGATTCATGGATGTCAGCCCGTCTGACATTTAGGTACCATTTATAATCCGATTGAGATGATCCGATTGAGGTGAAATTTTCCAAACAATATTTGTTCGGCTCAAGGACGAACCCTATTGGAATTGGTGAGAATCAGTTTAAATTTAGATATAGCTCCCATATATATCTTCAACCGATTTCGGGTTAATAGTGCACCAAATGGCCAATATCAGCCCAAATGACCTGAATTTTGGCACATTCGACCGAATTCAGTCTATCAGTAAGTACATCGAATTCGGAAAAAATCGGTTCTGATATTCCATATATAAGTTTCACCCGATATGTTGTTTAAGTGCCTCAAATTCGATATGATATGTGGTACTAGATATCTTATAGAGCTCGGAAATACCTTTGCCAAATTTTATCGAGGTCGGCTAAGGTTTGGATACCCAAATGAACAATCCCAGAAACAAGTATTTCAAATTAGGTGAAAATTGTTTCAGACATAGATATAGTTCCCATATATATGATATATAGGTGAGATGAAGAAACTGCAACCAACTTCAGACTGCTATCATTTTTAAACCACTCGTCCGACAGCTGTTAAAATTATTCCAATGACAGCTCATGATATTGTTTATAAGTGTACAAAACCATTTTGTTGAGAATTTCCCAGAAAAAAAGTTATTCGTGATGGAATTCGAACGTGATAGTATGATTTTCGTTAGAGCACTCCAGCATTTAAATGTGAATAAATCTTTTGTGTCTCGTACCATCGCTCGTTACCGTGATATGTTACCGGTAGCGTAGCCCGACGTCAAGGAAGTGGATGGGAGAAAACAGCAACATCAGCAGAAATGGTTCGAAAAATAAAGAAGCGACTTGGTCGAAATCCGCATCGCAGTGGCCGCAAAATGACTCGAACTGAAAATATCGCAATAATCCATTCGGCAAATATTGAAAAATGAGCTCGGGGTAAAGCTATTGAAATTCCAAAAAATCCAATAACTTACACCGCAACAGAAAGAAAATAGACTCAAAAGAGCTAAAGAGTTGCTTCGCTTGACCGAAAGTTGTTAACTGCCGAATTTGGTTTTCTCCGATGCGAAAACATTCGGTGTCCAGCAGTTTGTAAGCAAACAAAATGATCGTGTTTATTTGCCAAAGAGGTCAGATGAAAATGTGTACCTTCGGTGGTAGTGATGGTGTGTACCACCGGCCATAGTGATGGTGTTCAAAGAAGTTCAAAATGACCCATGGGGTCTTCCTTACAAGATAGTAATGAAAAGGGTAGGTAACCGAAACTGTATACCAGGAATAAAAAATCCAGAGTGGGCACGAACTATTGTAACCACACTATTCCCGAAAAGTGCTATACCACGAGAAAGTATACCACTTGAGGAAGAACAAAACGCACCACGGTTTACCGTGCTGGAAGTACGCCAAGCCTGCCAAAAGCTTAAAACAAAGAAAGCACCAGGACCAGATGGAATACCAAACGAGGTAGTCGCACTTCTTGGAAACATGTGGCCTGAACTTCTCTTAGATGTTTTCAACAAATGTCTCGATACGGGTATTTTTCCAAGTGCATGGAAAAAGCAACAACTTGTACTACTCCGAAAAAGCAATAAACCATTGGACAACCCGTCGTCCTACAGACCACTCTGCATGCTCGACACCTGTGGAAAGCTTTTAGAAAAATTATTACTGTATAGGCTAGAAGCAGAAATAAACAGAAGAGGAGGATTCTCTGGCCTGCAGTTTGGATTTGTTAAAGGAAAGTCTACTGTAGATGCTATAAAGGAAGTGGTAGAAACATCAAAAAAATCCATGGATCAAAAACGCTTCTGTGCAGTTATCACCCTGAATATTAAAAATGCATTTAACTCGGCTGACTGGAACGTAATACGACAAACGCTTAGAAAACGCCAAATTCCTCATTATCTAGTGAAAATGATCGACAGTTATCTAGAAGATAGAATTCTGCTGTTTGATACCATATTAGGAGTCCAAAGCTATAAAATCTCATCAGGCGTACCTCAAGGTTCTATTCTTGGGCCATTTCTCTGGAACCTGATGTACGACGATCTGCTAAATATGAATCTACCGAAAGGTACAAAGCTTATTGGATACGCAGACGATGTGGCACTATTGGTCGATCAACCCACAACACCACTAATAGAAATAGTTGCGAATGACTGCCTCTCACGAATCTCCAGGTGGCTGACATCAAAAAGATTATCACTCGCTGCTCACAAAACAGAGGCAATTATAATAACTAGGAGACGTGCATTCGTCAATCCGAAGTTAATGGTGGACGGACATGAGGTCACCATAAGCAAAAGTTTGAAATATCTGGGAGTATTTTTGGACTCCAAACTGTCTTTTGAAACCCACGTTAAAGGAATTGCAGAAAAGGCATTATCAACAGCAAGCAAACTAATACGCCTAATGCCCAAATTGAAAGGTCCAGGACAACTGGTCAGAAGATTGATAATAACGGTTGCTTATGCACAAATGTTGTACGCAGCTCCTGTTATTAGTGATGCCATTGCGAGCAGTAAAAAGTTGACTAATATGATTGAGAAAGTACACCGTGCATGTCTACTTCGAGTTACATCCGCATACCGAACAGTGTCCACCGCAGCACTGTCGGTATTATCTGGCATACCACCAATAATCCAGCAATTTGAGGAGAGAAAATATGTTTACGACCGTCGGAAATGCCTGTCATGCATTCATAGTAGCCAAGAGCTGCAGCAAATAAAGATGGAAGCTAGACGCATATTAAGCCAAAAATGGCAAGAAAGCTGGGAAAACTGCCCAAAAGGACGACATACATTCGAATTAATCCCATTTATAGAAACATGGACAAAACGAAACCACGGAGAACTTAATTTCTTCCTGTCCCAAATATTTAGCGGACATGGAAATTTTGCCACATACTTACATAGGTTTCATATTAAAGAAAATCCAATTTGTACAGCTTGTGGACTATATGAAGACACCGTAGAACACACAGTCTTCAGATGTGAGTACAATGAAAGCAAACGGCTTGCACATAGAATATGTGTCAACAATAATAGCTCTTTAAAAGCAACAGTAATAGGAATGCTGGAATCAGAAGAACAATGGGTGAAATATACTCATTATATCCAAGATATAATGACGGCGAAAAGTCTTCACGAGAGAAGACAACGAGCGAACCCCTAATCATAGTATGAAAATGTGGATGGGGGAGTAGATAAAATATGAAGGCATAGACCAGTCAATGAACTGTACCCCGAAGTAATGCGAAAGCGGTCCCGGGGTATTGGTTCCTGTGTAGGACCACTATTGGTAGCATGCTACCATTACGTCTAAAAAAAAAAAAAAAAAAAAAAAAAAAAAAAAAAAAGTGATGGTGTGTGGTGATGGCCGCCATAACAGCCAATAGTCGCTCTCCGCTCGTATTAATCGACCGTGGCATCAGAATATATGCCGAATATTATGGCGAAAATATTCTGGTGGGTGTATTACGGCCTTGGGTACGCAAACATTTTGACCGCAGACCCTGGACATCCCAAAAGAACTAAGCACCTTCGCAATCAGCACGCGCCACCCAAGAATGGTTATAAATGGTCACCAAAATCTCCGGATACCAGTCCGTTGAACTATTATGTCTGGAGTATTTTGGAAAGCAAGGTTGGCACTAAAAAATACCAAAGTGTCGATCACCTCAAGTAAGCGCTTCGGCGGGAATGGCCCAAAATACCGCAGAGTAACATTTGGGTAGCGTGTGACGGTTTTATGGCAGTTTGAATCCGTTCATGCCAAACGTGTCCAATTCGAACAAATCTAAACTTATCCTAAAATTTGATGCTATTTCCGACATGTTTTGCTTGCATTCTTTAAAATTTAAAACAAGATGTTTGACTTTGTTGCAGTTGTTTATCTCACCTGTACTCTGTAGTACCAATTGTTTACAATAAAATCCTAAAAAAGATTTGTTTTCTCAAACCCGAAATTCTTTACATAGAGCTAAGAGTTTCGCATGTAGGTCATTAGCAGGTTTACTGAAAATATCCGTTCTTAAGCCCCAAATCCGGTACCTTGAATTGGAAATATTTCATGTAATTTAATATTGAAATGTGTTCTGGCATACTGTTAAATTTTATGAAATTCGTGCTAAATTGTTCAAAATATTGTGTTCATATAGATAGAATTCTGAAATTAACTGCAAAAATTTATTTAGTTTTCTTTATGAGAATTTAGATTTAAAAAATTGCACGTTTTGATTACTTAAATGAAAACAATGATATCCAATTCGAAAGACGTAGAACTGGAATTCTGGATATTATCTTAAGAGCCACTTCTATTAAATTGGGTCCAAAAGCGACAGTATGTATGAGCATTCTTACTGAAAAGGTTCATAATCATAGAAGTTATTAAAAAAATCATTCTAAATGTCAAAATTTTGTAATTAGAGCAAAAATTCGGAAATTTCAATTAGCTTTAGTGCTTGAAAAGGCACCAACTATTGTACTTTAGAAACTAGAGTCCTGAAACTTCTTATGTTGTTAATCTGAAATTTGGTATGCAGTTTTCCGCAAGTACTAAGGGACAAGCACTAATGCTTAAATTCTCTAGTTTATGATCAAAGATTTCATAAGTTGTGTATGGAAATGCCAATCTGATGTGCGGAACTTCTAGGTTTTCATATCGGACATCTCAATATAGTTTGACACATTCATTCGCATTTCAGATTTTATTAAAGTTATTTTAAAAGAATAATCTCAAAATACTTCCTCAACTAAAAAACAAATCCCATTTACTATTTTCCACGATTTTCTTGCCATTTCAGCACCCAACGACAACAACAATAACAACAAAAAGATGTTATGTTTAGATTTGCAACATCATAAAGGAAATACGCTTTAATTCCCTCCTTAAAATGTCACGAATGAGCTCATGTATGAGAGTAAAGCGGAAACATGGAACACATTCCCACACACACACACACACCCACCCACCAAAGGTAATGTGGGTTTTTGCCAATTTAACTAGAAACCACACAACCCCGTTGGCTTATTTTTCTTCAACTTCTAAACGACACCAGGTAATTATGCATATTTAATCAAAACTTTCTTAAAAAAAAACACACAACCAACAACACGAAATAAAACCAGCAAAACACCCACCACGTCTATGTCACGTCACTCAATTATATCAGTCACATACAGAGTCAATTTCGAAAATCCGGAGAAAGAGAGAGCCACACTCACACACTTTAACACAAAATGTTTCCACTTCAGCCTGCATAAATAATTAGACTTACAACAGGAGAGAGAAAAAAGAAGAACAAAAATAAAACGTTACAACAAGAAATTCTAAGAATTAAAGTAAAACCATTTTAGTGAGGACTAAGATGATACCGGTGAGAAGGTGAGAGAGAAGGGGGCATGTGGTGGATGACTTGGAGAGTCAAGTTAAGTGTAATAAAGCTAAATTGTTATACAAAACAGACAATGTTTTAAGATGAAGCCTTCAGACATTATGTGCAACACTATGCCATAAACCTCCTGCAGGATAATGCATGCATGAATATGCCTTAAGGCATATGTCACTACATGGGTGAGTGAGTGTATATATAAACACTTCTCTCTTTTACACACACACCCAAATGTAGCTGCAACATAAATTATTAATTTATGCATGAAATTAAAGGTAGAACATCTTCATCCTCTACTTAGGCCGACAGACACAAAACTAAGTGTTTGTCTACATTTAGAGTAAAAAGCATACTTTGCATAATTATATATGCAAACATATTGGTTTTGTTGTTACGAATAAGTGGGTATGTGTGTTTTTTTGCTTTGAGCACTACAGAAGATTGGTGTGTGCAATTTATACCAAGTGCTTCATGTCGTATGGGTGTTTCCAAGATAGTGCAATGCTATCCTTTTTTTATAGAGGAATATTTGGTACTAAAGATACGAATGGGAAGAATAATGCATAATACAATATGGTAGTTTAAGTATCGGCATCCAATTCCAAATAAAAGTATATTGTTATCCTTGTCAAAAAAGAAACTTAAATTAAAACCAAATAATTTAGAAAATATTGCTCAGAGTTTCAAAATTAATAAAACTCCATCTCGATAAACAATATGCCAACACCTATCCTGTATTGCACATTTTTGTTCAAATCTTCAAAATATAATATTGATGTATTTTTTTCACTATACATAAACTATTGAGCCTTATCAAAACTCTATATATTATTCTTGACTTTAACAGAAAATGAACCTGGAAGCCATTGAAGTCTCTATTTTTCAAGATACCCACTTCAAAACTTAAAGCAGGCAAATTGTAAGCAAGACACCGAGACAAAGTATATCTCAGCAGTTAGGTTATAGGATATGCAGTTGCAATTGAAACTGTAACTACATCACTCGGAGACCTTTTGGTTCATTGTGATCATCCCGCGTGAAAAAGAAAAGGACGAAGGAATAAAAGAGGTGATAGATATTTATAGTGAAACAAGAGGATGAAGAAAAGCGTCGAATAGAATTGTGTTTTATCTTCGGCACCAGCTCCAGTAAATACTTCTTGCGAAATTATAACTGACTAACATGTGCCCGCTATTTCGTCAACGAAAAATCTACCTTAAAATTTTGGATTTGTTCCAAGAGTTTGTGTTAGGGCTTTTTAATACTCAAAATGCAGAATTTGTTCAGTTTGACAAAACTTTTTTATCAAAACTTCATGCATCGTACATAATTTTTAGACTTTCAAGGTTTTATACATAATTCAAGTTTATAATAATGGACATACATTCAATTTTGCTGTCAAAGACTATTTCAACGTCTCCATATGTAAACCCTAAAAACCAACAATGATCTCAAATCAAATTCCAAATTTTAGTCAATCCCTTCACTCAATACTAAATTTAGTAACATTTAATAGGCATATCCAAAACAGCAGCAGTGTCCAAAATTGTACTTTTTGAACAATTATAGTATGCAATTTCAAAACCACCACTAAATCTAAACACCATATACCAACAGTGACATCTGTATCAAATTACAGGATTTCAGCTCTATCCCTTCACCCAGTACCTAATTTAGTACCATTTAGTAATTTTCGTATAAATATAGGACCAAATATTCCAGATACCACCAGAGAGCTCAATATAAAAATTGAGAATTTCTGGCCTATCCCTTCCTCCAATACAAAATTTAGTGCTTTTCATTCAAATATGCGGCCCATTTCCAAACCACCGCCAAATTTCAACACAAAGATACCATCAGTAATATAAGTATACAATTTCAGAATTTTATTACTTTCCTTTCACTCAAATATAGTATGATTCAGTACTTTTCTTAAAATTATAGTACACATTTCCCAAACCACCTAGTACATGCCTACACTTGAACAGCGACCCTAATATAGAATTTCAGATTTTAAGCTCTATCTGTTCACCATTGTACCAAGTATACTACTATTCAGTGCACTTCGTAACTTTTTGTGCACATGTAGTACACATTTCCAAAAACTCCTCTTTATTATAAACCTACCACCAACAAGGATCCCAATACCAAAATTTCTAGCTCCATCCGTTCACCCTAAACCACCTGTACAAAATTTAATGCCATTTAGCATTTTTCGTACAATTAGTGTACACATTTTCCAAAAGTACCTCCATGGACGTAAACAACGACCCTAATACCAAATTTCACATTTCAAACAATATATGTTCACCCAATACCAAGTTGTACCAAATATAGTTCTATTTTGTACTTTTCGTGCACTTATAGTACAAATTTCCAAAACTATCCCTTTATTACAAACCTACCACTAACAACTGTAAAGTTTAACATTTTTCAGCATCATCCGTTTACCCAAAATGCACGCTTAGTACATATTTCCAATACTACCTTCATATCTCAAACTTACTTTCCAATATAGATTCTCATACCAAAGTTTTTAGCTCTATCCGTTCATATAATACCAAATGTTGATATTTTAGAAGTCTAGTACCATTGTAGAACAGTGCTTTTCCAAAACCTAGCATAGTATCAAATTTCACATTTCACATCATATCCACAAATAATAGTCGAGGACTAAACCAGAACAAGTCGTGCCATAGAATAATTTTGGAAACCCTTGTATTGTCAAAAGTATTAGAGTCTGTCAACAATGCCACGTTGTTTGAGGATGTAGGAACAGGGTCCTTACTGATCTCTTATAACGCATATAAGGACATACACGATGTAAAGAAGGAGGCCGAAAGCTGTAAGAGAAAGCCTCTAAATCAAGAAACATCCCAGACCGGTCTTAGTATGATTCGTACTAATGCAGCCACAGAAGACATCCTCATATACAGTATTGTATTTTGTCCTCGGAGTCCATCTCCATCCATTGCAGCTGTAAAATATCGACTACCTGGATAAACCAGTGTAGTTTTGGCCCAACGACGTTCGGGATTATGCAGTAGTCTCAATTCGTATTGCCCTCGAATTAATGAATATGTGTGAAATCTCTTCCCAGCATGTGATACAGTCCCCCACAATACCCTGAATCATTTTAGTTGATCTATTAAACCTAGCCAACTTAGTCTGGAAAGTATCAATTCGACAATCAGCTGCATGGGCTTCACATCCCTCTCTCTCTCTCTCTCTCTCTCTCTTAGTGAGGTGTTACACCTTAGGTCACAACACCGAGTTGAGAAAGCAACTACATATCGAGCAGTAGCTCGATAAACACCAACCACTGCTTTGCGCCTAAAACAGGGGCCTCTCTATAGCCAGCCTACATCAATCGTTTTAGGGGCTGTAAACACCCGAATGACCTGAAACGGATGTCATGCAAAGAGAATGAGGATCGGAGACCGTTATTTCCCATTATGGTCGTTTCAAATATTTTGTACCCTCTTGTATAACCATCTGGTTAAAGATAAATATAATAAAATGACATTTTATTCAAGAAAGAATTACAGACATTAATAGATGATTTTGAGGGTAAATAGTGCCGAATTCAGGAAATACAGCTCCATAGAAAAATGGGGTACAAAAGTGAAATTTTCAAAAGTCGACTTTTTACACAAAAATCCCATTTGCCAAATTGTAGAAAATTAGATATGGTAAAAATCTTCAAAAATTTTAAATATTTCTGAACTCAAAATGTGTCGATGAAGGTTATGGCTAGTGAAGAAGAGGTTTGAAGAGTTTGTATGTATATATATCATCTTGTATGGTACAAAAGGGGTTTTTATGACAATTATGCATTTGAATAAAATATATTTTCGAACTTAAACATATGAGGTTTATTAATAAATGATACCCTCTAACTAACATTCTCTTTCTACACGATTTGTATCTCTCGAGGGTTTGAACGCTAATTTCAGGTGTCGGCCACTTCTATTAGTTTTCACATAAAAAGCAATTTTGCTTAGTTTTTCGAGAGATTTTAGCGAAATATGTATTTTTGGGGTTAGTTGTTTCACCTTGGGTCTCAGCATTAAATGCAGCGTATTTAATTAGAAATTGATTTTATCTAACATACGTGTTTGAGTACCTCCTCGTAAATTAAAATATATAAAAATAAAAATATAAAATGTTTTTTTATTATTTGTTGCCAGTCCCATAATTCTTAGTTTTATCAAAACTTGCAACGTGACAACCCTAACATGAAATGGTACCCACAAAAATATGCATAATAAAATAGAAGACACACTTAAGGATTTTTGACGCCTCTTGTGTTTGGGTGATAATTTAATTGCATGATGTAGCACACATACACACACCTACATGTGTATATGAATGTATATCATCGTCAAATTGCAACATATGGAAATAGATCCTTGAATAAAATGTCTAATATCTGTTGGAAAGTAGACGAGTGGTGATACTTCTCCAAGTAAATGTGTGAATTTTTAAAATAATTGTATTTCATTTTAGTTTCGTTTCGTTTGTTTGACAGCCAGTCGGCTTGATATCTGCCTAAGCCTATTTGAGTTAAACGAGTGCAGCATTTAGTTAAACATTTCATTTGTGTAATTTAATAATTTCTGCAAACGCACATGCATACCTACAGAGAAGGGGATAGGAGGAGGAGT